GTTGTCAAAATTATGGTCCTTTTTTTGGGTACCCTAAATATTAGGTGCCGTAGTATAATAGGGACCCAAAAAGGGACCATAATTTTGACAACCACCCATATATAGTTTAGAATGGTATTCATTTCTGGGGAGTGTCCCTAGAATTTCCAACAAGGCCCAGTGTCACCAAGGCGTTCAGCGACGCAGATCTGAAGGACGAGTTTGAGCTGCTGGAGATTCTCGACCCGCCGGTGCAGCTGGCTTGTTGGGCCATCCATAATGGAGGTTCTCGAAGTGTTCCCTATCGAGTCCGTCTCCTCGTAGTACATATACAATATATATGTGTATACAGAATATGTATATTTGTGTAGATCCCGAATTTCCGAGGGGTATCCTTTTTTGGTGAGAACATCGTTTGCAAGTGCTGCAGGTTATTGGGTTCATTTTCTTGGGCGCTATTCCTCACATGGATGATCGCATTTTCGGCTTCGGACTGCGCAGGCTCCCATTGCCTCTGCCTGAACCCTAAACCCTGCACCCCCAAACTACCCTACACCCTAAACCCTTGAATTGCACAGGCTCCCTCGCAGATGTACACCCGGTTCAAGGCACGGCGATGAGGGATTTGATGTCGGATTCGAGGTCTACAATCAGGTGATCTTGGGTACCCCAATCCCTATAATCAGGATCTCTAAGAGTCACATGGTAGTCATAGATACCTCATGATATGGCACGGGGTTACCCAAATCCCCAGATTACGAGTTTACCTTAAATTCCCGTTTATTCTCCATTACACTCATGGTTGAAGGTTAAGGCTCCGCGGTGCTGACCTGACTCCGTGGTCATGAGGGCCCCCTACAAGGGCCGGGGATGATATGAGCTACAGTCTAAACTCCTTAAAGGGGGTTATATAGGGGAGTATATAGGGGACTATTAAAGGGGGTTATATAGGGGATTACATAGGTGACTTTTAAAGGGGGTTATATAGGGGAGTATATAGGGGACTACTCTAGGGGTTATAAGGGGGATGCTAGGAGTTTAGACTATAGCTTATATGTGATAGACATAGTATGCCGTTTACGCGGGAATGCTGTTCCTAACTATTCAGGCTCCCACACACCCTAAACCCTAAACCTCATGTTTTCCGGCAGGTGGAAGACATCTCGAGCTTCCCTGCGTCAGAGCAGGACGACAGCAGCAGATCTCTGCCGCGCAATCCCATGCATTAACAGAAGCGCTCCCCAAACCTGTTGAGGGACCTGTTTAATTTTAGGGGTTGGGGGCTTGTTACATGGGGATGTGAGTAGCTCAGTTCAAGTGAAGCAGAATTATATACCGTCCGATAACCCTCAACCTAAACCCTAAGCGCTACTCCCTAAATTTGCTGAGGCCACTCCCACCCCGTACCAGGATTGTCAGCACTTCGGCTTTTACGCTGTGTAAGACAAGGTTCCCCCGTACATCTGGAGCAGCCACCAGCCCCAGCTGGGCCAAATATCTATACGTTTTCCACTTGATTGATGAGAATACCTTAAAGCCCACAATTTGAAGTCGTAAAGAGACGCCCCACCCGCATTTTCCCTTCAAAATAGGCCCTTAGTCTTGGCCCTCTCTAGAGACTCTGGAAAGGCCACCTAGAAGGCACCCAAAGCCTCTGGGAGACTCCTGGGATGCTCCCGATGTTGCAATGTACTTGATCATCTTGAGGTGGGAATTGAGGGCGGCAGCTCTAATAACTTACAGGAGGTGCTTTGGTAGTAGCCTGTGATATCTTCACGGCGGGTGGGAGTGTTGAGAATTCTCGGTGTCGATGGGTTCTTTGGCAAACATCGTGCGAGGGTCGCTAGGCGCAGGATGTGCTGCCACTCGCTGACCCCTGGGAGTAGGGTGGCGCCATCTGTGCGTCAACCATTAGCCGTGCGCGAGACGCCCGCGACCCTAATCACCAAACATTAAACCTCAAGCCCTAAGCAAGAGGAGCGGATCAGAGAAGCCTTCTACCGCTTCAAGAGCATCGGAAGCTCCTTTGATGCAAGTCAGAGCAAGCATTGCCTTGCACGCAAAGGTCATGCAGAAGCCCGAATGATTGGGAATGTTGTTCCCTTATGACCTTATGCAAGCATACTAGCGCACATCCTTCTCCACGAAGCCCATGCCAATTCTTGCAGCTCTCCGTGCGGTGTTCTGAAGGTTGCCTCTTGGATCAAAGCAGGCAGGTAGGGTGAGGGGATAGAGCATGTTTGTCGCCCTCACTGCTTGGCAAGCGCGCCTCCGAGCCAAACTCGTCCCTTGGAGATCTCTGGCATGCAAAGCTGCAGGGCCAAAAGGGCCTTCAGAACAGGACTGGAACGACAGCTCCTCTTCTGAAGACAAGCCTTTTGATCTGTATGTGCTGGCCCGGCGACTGGGCGTCAAGCCCAAAGACGTGATCTACACAATACACGAACTGCATAGGGAGGGCCTGAAGATGTACGGAGAGGGTGATCACATCCCCAAGAGCGATGCCCAGGTGGGAATTTCTCTCAAAGAGTACCGTGCTGAGACTTTACAAATTAAGATTTTACCAGTAGAATCATATAGCAGGTCTTTGTATGAGTTGCCGCTAACAGTGTTTACTTTAAGACTAAGAAGATGATGATCTTACTTGATTCGAAGCAGGTTTTGTTGGAATATCTTTTGACTTCCTATAGTGCCATGTATGGGCGTTGTAGACGGGTATCCACCTGGTTCGACAACGAAAAAAACTCATGGCTTCTCCCAACCAACATGTTTACTACCCCTTGCTTTAGGTCCCCTTTTAGTCCAGCTTGATGAGCCTTAAGCCTCCCTAAATGAGCCCAAGATACCGAGAACCCAAAGGCGGTACTGAAGGGGTGGTCAAGGAATCCAAAAAGAACACCCCTCAGGTAATCTGCGAGTTGGGGTTTGGCGAGCGACTTCCCCCGCGCAAGTTGCCAGAGGTTGCAACCTTGTTCAAAGTGGATGATTCAACAACCGAAGCACTGAACCCATATAATCCTTACACAATCCCTACATAAGCCCTATTTAGCCTTCTATATTTGATTATGTAGCCTTATGCATTTAACCCTAAACCCTTAGCCCGAAACCCTCAAGGGACGGAGACTCCTCAGGAACCCTAGGGAGCCTTGCAGTTCAGGGTTTAGGGTTTAGGGAAGTTTTTGACTTGGAAGGATTGGCGTGTTGGAGAGAAAATATAGTAATGTAGTAATGGCGTGATATAGAAATCTAGCAACATAGTAATTAATATTGAAATATAGTACTATAGTAGTATAGTAATGGTTTAGCAATATAGTCATTTCGTAGCATCGTAATATATTAATAGTATAGCAATATAGTAATATCGTAGTAATGTTGAGTTACCAAATCCCTTTGAATCACCCCTGTAAGAACCTGCGAAGAGGCTTGGATGAAGAATTTGCACTCGGTGCCCCAGTATGCGGCTTCATTGGAACCTGATGAACGTGACGAGGTGGAAGCTAGCGATGAACCTGGTTCCTCGGCGCAGGGTAGAGAAGATGATCTATTGAAAGCTCGCCTGGCAAAAACATGTGGCACTCGACCAACGAAACGCCTTTTCCAAGAGCTGCGGAAAGAAGGCTTCCGCATGGGAGGAGACCGCGGGTTCCACATCTACAGCCGCTCCGGGAAAGAGTTCGTGCTAAATCGGCCGACCCAGTGGGATGCCGCTGTACACTTTGAGAGGATGTGGTCCTTTGTGAAGGCAGAGCGTTGGCCAGGTCAGTTCTGCGAGAGATGTCGCGAGTGGGTTCCACAGGCAGAGTTGGATGAGGCTGAAGAGCTAGGCTCCGTGGGATATGCAGCTGGATGCCTTGGAACTTGTGCGACTGCAAGGCAGCGTACCAAATAACAAGAAGGAGCTGTCCCGAAGATCAAGCATTTTTATGTAGAAGCTTGAATGATCACTAAAGCTATTCCCTTACCGTCATTATAATGCTATACTATAGAAAGTACCTTAACACCACCCTTTTGTGATTATTCAGGCGTCTACATTAGGCCAGAGCACCTGGACGCCTCCTTTTGGCCGGCCCTAGCTTGCACACAGAAAGCTGTGTTGATGTTGCCCCGTTTGAAGTGGCCATTTTGAGTGTAGGACTTTGCAGACAGAAGCAAGTTTGCAGAGTGCATTACTTGTTTTAACTTCATCAAAAAGCTTGGTGGGCTAGAGAAGACAGCGTGGTTGTAAGCGCGGACGCTTTCATGTGATGCGGCTTTGCCAGTTAGCTTCCCTTGTCAGAGATGTTCCGCTACTTGTACTTACAAGTTTGGGGCTGAGATTTCAAGGTTTAGGAGCTTGGGTATATAGTCCCCCTTAAGTAGATTGAATATGGGGTATATGGGGATCTTATTATGATATACCCAAAGCCATATTCTATCTACTTAAGGGGGACTATACTGAACCCTAAACCCTAAATAGTAGTGTCCATTTTCTGTTTCATTATCCTCATTTAACCTCCATGAAACCCTAAACCCTAAACGCTTAGGGTATAGGCTTTCGGGCCCACGCCCTAAACCCTAAACCCTAAACCCTAAATCCTAAACGCCTAAACCCTAAACCCTAAACCCTAAACCCTAAACCATGAATGCTCATGCGAGGCTCGGACATTGATGCAGGGCGCTCAGTTGACCATCAAAGCAGGGAGTTTGCCTTGAAAATTTCATATTGTGGTTTAGGGTTTAGGGTTTAGGGTTGAAATAGTGGAGAATAAAATGGAAACTACTAAAACTATATAGGGATATATAGGGTTTTATTGTGGTTATGCTGGGATAATGGAAAATGAAATGGAAACTACTATATTATATACGGTCTTCGAAGCTCAGCCCAAAAGCCCAATCCAGCACTTCTTTACCTCACACCCTAGACCCTAAGCCCATCTCACTTACTGGGGAATGAAGGGCATGGGTCCTGGTAGCCGTTCCTACACAATTGCATCAAGTCTGCCTAACATGTATCCCGCTGCTCCTGATGAAATGACAGTGAGACGTTCGGGTGTAACTCAAGGTGCGAGGAACTCGAACAAATTGCCACCTCATCTGTTATATCACTCACGTAATTGTACTACAATATTCTCCCAAATCCTACTCTGATGATTGGGCAAGGTGGATGACCTTGAAAAAGCATTGATTCACTTGGGCTACTTGAAGATCGATGCCCAGGCTGCTCTCCTTGCCATGCAAAGCCATAGCACACGTGGATCTCCGAGGTTAAGGGTTGAGGGCTAACGGCTTAGGTTTTAGTGTTTAGGGTTTAGGGGGGGGTCGGGGGGGGGGGTGTCTTTCCAAAATTCGTGGAAAACGTTCCCCTACTTCGGGTCTCCCATCTATTACCTGTTCCTATATTTGTTGTTTCAGGAAGCGTGATCTGTCAAACTTCCGAGTGATGACCAGAAGCCAGGTTTTCTCACGGTCTGACTATGTGCCCTAAACACTAAACCCTAAACCCCCTAAACCTTAAACCCTACGTGCCATACCTGTGGCTCAAAGTTTGAGTGTAGGGAGTTTTGTCACAACGAGGCCTCACGCATTTCAGGTTCATGTCTTGGAAAGCTTGCCATACCTAATTAGTGCTTCTTGGGTTGGTGGTGTGGCAGAAAAAACCCACCCTACACCCCAGCTATAGCATAGTGTACCCACGCCCTAAGTATTCAAATTGATGAGGATTTTTTGGTCACCTTCAGTAGTCCTTGTGCAACTATAGTAAAGTCTCCCTTCTTATACAGCTTTAGTACACCACACCCCCAAGACCCTAATAATTTGGGCCTCCAAAAGAGCTCCGGGCCTATGGGCTGCGCGCTGCATGGCGGCCCTCGACCGGGTTCTGCTTTCGCTTTTCAGCGCCCGCCCTGGTTGGGGTTTTGGGTTTGGGGTTAAGGGTGTGTGGTTCAGAGTTTGCGGGGGTTAGGGATTCATGTTCTTTTCCGGTGTGGTTTGGGTTAGGGTTGCGATCAATCTAGAAGGGTCACTCAATGGGTCCCGGTTCCGTATGATTACATAGACACGTTTTTACATGATGTACAAATATCTCATGTGTCATACCTAATATTTCTAGATGGCTTTGCAGCATTAGTTTTGTATTCACATAGATATTCATGCATTTATGAGCACGTTTATGCGTCTCATAGTATGTGAGCCTTGCGATGAACATTTGCGTTGCCAACCCCGTACCTAGACCCTCCAACGTGGTAGTTCTAATGCCAGTCCTAACCAAAAACTATACCAAGCCAAGAAGGAACTACATTGGAGGGTCTAGGTAAACCCTAAACCTAGAAAGCTGAGGCGGCGGTGGCCTGTGCGGGTGCTGCAAACCAGAGACGTCAAATTCAGTGGCCATGGACCGGAGTGCTACCTTATTATTGGGTTTTAAGAGAAGCTATAGTCTAAATTCCTTAATCAACGAGGTCCTATGGGTTTAGGGTTTAGGGGTCTAAACTCCTTCAAAGGGGGTTACATAGGGATTCTATAGTGGAGTATTCCATGACCTATTTGGGGGGATACTATGAGGTCAGACTATAGCTCATAATATATAGATACATATACATATATATATATATGTATGTATAGACCACTATGAAATCCCAGTTTCCATTTACTTTTATTTCTCTTTTCCATTTGATTCTCCGTTCTTCCTATATAGACCCGGCGTCCTCAGGGCTCAGGGTCCAAGGTTCAGGACTCAGGCTTCGGGGCTCATTGCTTAGGTTTATGGTATAGGGTTTACTGGGTTGCTGTTAAGGAACTTAAGTTAAGTTACTATATTGGGGAAACCCTATTATTTACTATATATACCATAATTTTAAGTTTATGGTATACCCTAATGCTCTTGGACCCTCAGAGGGGGATCCCAAACCTTAGCCCCCAAAGCCCAAACCTTCCCCCAGAAAGCCCCAAATAGTCCTAGGAGCCTTAGGGTAGGGTTTAGGGTTGCTTTGATCTGAAGGGCCCCCCAGCTCCAAGATTCAAACCTATGAAGGGTAGGAAGTAGCATCTAGCACGGGGGAACTGGATGGGGTCTTTGGCTAGATAGGGAGTTTCTAGGACACTCGGGCTCTATGCACCCTAAACCCTAAACCCAGAATGCAGATGCTATGGGCTTACGGCTTAGGGCCTCCCTTCATGTTCGGAAGCCGTTAAAGTTCATTGCTTCATATGTGGGCCCGAATATGGACTCCCATATACATATATATATATATACACATAAACATACCTATACAGTACATATATACGTACATATATATATATAGATAGTTTTATTATATCCCTAACAGGGTCCCAAGCTTCCGGAAACATGCATCTTGTCTACGTCAGGACATTCTACAGCTGAAGCCCTAAACCCATATATATATATATATACATATACATATATATATATGTTTACAGGAGGGGAATCCATATATACTCCTCACTACAGGGACTCCTACACAGCAGGACATTCTACAGCTGAAATCCTATCAAGACGAGTGGGATCGGACCCAGCGCGCGATAGAACTTGCCAAGCGCGAGCAAGTGGCAAAGGAGGCACTTCAAGGGTCTTCAGGTTTAGGGTTTTAGGGTTTGGGGTTTAGGGGTTTAAACCCTAAACCCTACAACCCTAAACTAGGGGTTTAGGGGTTTAGGGGTTTGGGGTTGTAGGGTTTTAGGGTTTAGGGTTGTAGGGTTTAGGGTTTTAGGGTTTAAGGGGTTAGGGTTTAAGGGCTTAGGGTCCACAGGGCTAGGTTTGGCATTTTGTTACCCTTGATTCCTTTATAATTCTTATGAACATCACAAAATGTCATAAAACCACAAAATTTACCCTGGTTCAAGGTTTCGGAGTCTAGGTTTGGATTTTAGGATTTGAGGTTTTAGGGTTTCGACTTGAGATTGTAGGGTTTGGATTTTAGGGTTTCAGGCTTTAGGGTTTGGACTCGAGGGTTCGGGTTTGGACATGAGGGTGTAGGTTTTCCTGAAGTCTCATATTTCGCATCTTGGGTTTAGGGTTTAGGGTTCAGCGCTTACTGGTTCACATCGCTGAGCATCTTGGCGTGCGTCTCGTCTGGATTGTTTGCAGTGACTTTTTGCATAAACCTCGAATCCTAAACCCTAAACTATAAACCCTGACCCCAAACCTCAAATCATAAATCCTAAGCTTCAATATGCCCTAAACCCTCTAGACCCTAAACCCTATTGTAGACCCATGCAACCTGAACCCCAAGCCCTGAACCTCCCAAATGGCAGTTTCCATAAATGGGGGAACCCATATAGACCCCAATATACTATAATCCTTATTATGAGGACCCCCAAAAAGGTACACCCCTTTTCGGGAAGCCCTAAACCCTAATCCTTATGTAAACCCTTTATAGCCCTAATGTAACCCCTAACTTTGACAACGGTGCCCCTAATCTTGCGAAACCCTTAACCCTATATAACCCTTTCTACCCTATATACCTTGGGTCATTTCCCCTCCCAGTAACTGTCCTTAAAGGGGCCTTATTAAGGGGGTTCTTATAACTCCTATAACCCATTGTGGTAACAGTTACTGTAAGGGGGAATGACCCAAACCCTAAACCCTATACCC